AAATAATAATAAAAAGCCTAGGGATGGCCGGGCATGGTGGCACAGGCCTGTAATCCCAGCACTTGGGAGGATGGGGCAGGATGATTGCTGTGAGTTCAAAACCAGCCTGGGCTACAAAGTGAGCTCAAGGCCAGCCTGAACTGCATAGCGAGACTCTGTCTCAAACCACACACACACAAAACCCTGGGGATGTAGCTCAGTGTGAATGCTCTGGATTCAATCCCCAGTACCCACTCCAAAAATAAATAAATTAATTAATTAATTAATTAACTAAAATTTAAAAGGGATAGGTCTAGCATGGTGGTGCACACCTGTAATCCCAGCACTTGGCAGGCTGAGGCAGGAAAACTGCTGCAAGTTGGAGGTCAGCCTGGGCTACAAAGTGAGTTCAAGGCCAGCCTGAGCTGCATAGTGAAACCCTGTCTCAAAAAGACTTTTAAAAAAAAAAAAAAAAAAAAAAAAAAGGTAGGCATGACCCAAACCAGAGTCTCCTTGGAAGAGAATGTCCCAGGTGGGAGAATGAAAATGTTGCAGAAGAGGACTCGGGAGGTCCCTTCCTCTGTGTTCACGCCCACCCTCTCTCCCCAGTCCTGCCAGAGACTCCCCCGCAATTTGCCACCCCCGGGGCCCTGGAGGTCGGCACCCGCCGGCGGGTCGCCTGCTCTCTGGATGGGCTGTTTCCCGTCTCGGAGGCCAAGGTCCACCTGGCGCTGGGGGACCGCACGCTGAACGCCACAGTCACGTACCAGAATGACTCCCTGTCCGCCTCGGCCTGGCTGGAGGTGACCGCACAGGAGGAGGGCGACCGCCCGCTGGTGTGTGCCGTCCTGCTGGGGAACCGGAGTAGCGAGTCCCGGAGGAACCTGGCTGTCTACAGTAAGACCCGGGGTTGGTGGGTGTGGCTTCCTGGGCGTGGCCTTTGTTAGGGGCGGGCTCACCCTTCGCCCCGCCCCCCAAGCTTTCCAGAGCTGCAAGAACCGCCTACAAGCACAGGGGGCGGTGAGGCACCCCTGTAATCCCAGCACTCAGGAGGCTGAAGCAGGAGGATCACTGGGAATTTGAGGCCAGCCTTGGCTACATAGTGAGTTCAAGGCCAGTCTGAACTACATAGTGAGACCCTGCCTCTGAAAAACAAACAAAACAAAACCAGAAAAAGAACCTAGCTACAGTTAATGAGCATGGGCGGGGCTAGCCACGGGTGTGCCTGGCAGGGTGGGGCCCTTGCTAGGGGCGGGGCTCACCACGTGCCCCGCCCCCAGGCTTTCCAGAACCCATCCTGACACTGAACGAGACCGAGGTCTCAGAAGGGGATCTGGTGATGGTGACTTGTGAAGCTCACCCTGGAGCTTTCGTGACTCTGAGTGATGCCCCAGCCGAGCCTCTGTCCCAGAAATCGCAGTTGCTGCTGAACGCCAGCGCTGAGGATAACGGCCGCCGCTTCTCTTGCTCCGCGGCTCTGGACGTGGCCGGGCAGTTGCTGTACAAGAACCGGACCCGGCAGCTCACCGTCCTGTGTGAGTGGCATTGCTGACCCTGATCCCTGTGCCCTGAGCCCCGACCCCCGAGGCCCCCGTGCCCGCGGGCTCTGCCCTGACCGCTGTCCGCTCCTGCCATTCCTCAGATGGCCCCCGACTAGACGAGAGCGACTGCCCGGGGAACTGGACCTTGCCAGAGGGGTCCCAGCACACCCTGCGATGCCAGGCCTGGGGGAACCCACCCCCCCAGCTTAGGTGTCATCGCAAGAGCGACAACTCTTCGCTGCCCATTGGGAGCCTGAGGTCTATCAAGCGGGAACTCGCGGGCACCTACCTGTGCCGGGCCGTGAGCCCCCGCGGGGAGGTCAGCCGGGAGGTGCTGGTGACCGTTCTCCGTGAGTGCCGGGGTGGCCAGCGTGCGGGGCTGGGTGGGACCGCGGGCAGCGAGCTCTGCTCTGTCCTCACCGCCCCCCCTTGTGTCCTCCTGCAGACGACCAGGGTCACATGATCATCGTCATTGTGCTGGTAGTCGCCGGAGCGATCGTGGGCTCTGCGGCCGTAACCGCATACTTCTACAACCGCCAGCGGAAGATCAGGAAATACAAGCTGCAAAAGGCGGCCGAAGCTTTGCTGCTGAAGTCCAAGCCACAGCTGCCTGAGCCGGCTCCCTCAGCGCAGCAGCAGCAGCAGTGCTGAACGGACCCGAGGGCCGGACATGCGCCACACAGCTCTGCGCACCCTCTCGGGTGACGGAGGACAGGATGATGGCCTCAGGGCGAGGATGACATTTGGGATCCTGGTGTCTGCACCTATTGGACCCCAGGGTGGTGCACCTGACCTGTAGCCCCGGGGCTGAGCAGAAAAGCGAAAGAAGACTGGAGAATGAGGATGGGTGTGGGGCGCACGCCTGTCGTCCCAGCATTCTGGAGGCTGAGGCAGGAGGATCGCCTCAAGTCTGAGGCCAGCCTAGGCTACAAAGTGAGTTCAAGACCGGCCTGAACTGCATAGCAAGACCTGTGTCAAAACAAACAAAAAGACTTGGCATGTCTGTGAAGGGTGTTGAAGTCTGGCCTGGACACAGGGGCAGCGACAGAGACACAAACCTTTGGCTTTGTAGACCAAGAGCCGGGAACTATGGAGACTCACTCCCCACTGGCTGTGCCGAGGCCCCGCGGCCCGAAGGAGGAAGTTGCCTGCACACAGATATGGGCAGAGCTGAAAGACGAATAGCACACTTGCTCCGGAAATGCCAGCTCTGGTACTACTGTCTATTGACCGTGCCCAACTCTGGCCAATGACATATTTATTACTTTTTTAAACTTTTTTTTTTATCGGTTATTTACTGCGTACATTTTAGGAAGGCTAAAATGGTGAACAATGATGCAAACACTGCCTTGGGCGTGGTGGAGCATGCCTGTAATCCCAGCACTTGGGAGGCTGAAGCAGGAGGATCGTTGCGAGTTCAAGGCCAGCCCAGGCTACAAAGTGAGCTCAAGGCCAGCCTGAACTGCATAGCAAGACCTTGTCTCAAAAAGACAAAAAAGAAAAAAAATAAGATTCGAACAACGGTTCCTGCCCTCACAGAGCACACTTTGATATTACACAGTTAGAGTTACCAGGTACATGTGTACTGCACAAGAATACCTGGCAAAAGCATCAAGTGGATCTAGGATTTCTCACTTTATTGGCCGAGCTGCGTTCTCCCCAAAGGGTGTTCTTTTCTGTTTTGCTATTGGGCACAGAAGCACTATACGGACTAGTCATGGCTGCATGTTCTGCAACCACTCATTAACCCTCCCCCAACAATGGGCTGTTAGTCACCTCCCCACCCACAGCCATCTCTACCAGCGTTCCCGACACTGTGACAGTGCCTGAATGTCGTGCCAGCCCTTGGCAGTTAAGCCGTGGAATCCCTCGGAATGGAAGCCTTGACCTGGAGCCAATAAAGCACCCCCACCCCACCCCTTGGCCTCGACCTCCGTGGGTCGAGGGTAGGGGTCACATCCACTGGAGCTTTTTCTAGCCACCTCTGCGGCAGCCGCGACTTCCCACTTCCTTCCGCACCAAAAGCCTGCCGTCCAGCCCAACCCTGAGGCTTCCGTCCAAATCCTAGGCTTTTCCTGACTTTCTGCCACTGCAGTGAAAACGAAAGATCCCCATCCAGAAAAATGAAATAATATGTGGCTGACAACCGTGTCTGGAATCTCATTCTGGGTCGAAGGGAGCAGGGCAGGTGTGCTTTGCGGGACTCCTGAGCCCTCTCTGGGGCCCCCTGGCCCTCTCTGGGGCGGGTCTGGGGAGGCGGAGCTGAGGGGCCTCCTTATCTCCGGAGCCAGCCCGGCTCCCTGGCGCCAGGCCCCACCCTGGGGTCTCTGCCATGAGGTCTCTGCTTCTGCCGCTGCCCCTCTTGCTGGTGGCCGCCTATCCGGTAGGTGGGAGTGCGCCGAAGCGTCAGGCCGAGCTGTGGCTAAGCCCCAGCCCCAACCCCAGCCCCAGCCCCAGCCCCAGCCCTCTGGCGCCCCTGGGAGCCTCGGTGCCCTTCTGGGTGCGTCTGAGCCCGGAGCTGGTGGAGGTGGCCCCGGGGCGCTCGGTGTGGCTGAACTGCAGCACCAGCTGCCCCCTGCCGACGAAGCCCAGCCTTTCCACCCAGCTGCGGCGCGGCCGCACGGCCACCGGGCCGGGCTGGGTGTCCTACGAGTTGGTGAATGTGACGGCCTGGAGCTCCATCGCGCGCTGCCACGCCACCTGCGCGGGAGAAACGCGCCAGGCCATTGCGAGGATCAACGCTTACAGTGAGGGCAGCCCCTCCGGCGGGGCGGGCGGGCAGGGCGGAGGGCGGCGAGGCCTGGCCGCCGCTAGGAGGCGCCCGCGGGCCTGTCTCAGGGGCTCCCCTCTCGCTTTAGAGCGGCCGCGCAGCGTGATCCTGGAGCCGCCGGTCCGCGCGGGCGGCCGGTACACCCTGCGCTGCCACGTGACGCAGCTGTTCCCCGTGGGCTTCCTGGTGGTGACCCTGAGGCGTGGCGGCCGGGTCATCTATTTCGAAAGCCTGGAGCGCTACAAAGGCCTCGATCTGGCCAATGTGACCCTGACCTACACGTTTCGCGCCAGGCCCAGCGACCTCTGGCAGCTCGTGACCTGCCACGCGCGCCTCAATCTCGACGGCCTGGTGGTGCGCAGCAGCTCGGCGCCCGTCATCCTGGCAGCGCTGGGTGAGGCTCTCTGTGATCCTGGGGACCTGGGAACCCTGGTGTGCGTGCGCGTGTGCGTGTGCGTGTGTGTGTGAGATGACTCCAGGAGGGCACGCAGACCAGAGTGTGACGAGCGCCAGACTCGCTCCCGGGGCCCTGATTCTCCACCTCCTGCTCCCAGATTGGAGCCCCGAGTCCAAAGCCTTGGCCTTCTCCTCCATCGTGGCCTTCGTGGGGATCCTTCTAGCAGTGGGGACCGCCTCCCTGCGCAGGTGCCTAGCAACGCGGTCTAGAGGGGCACTCTCTGCCAGCTGAGTGCCAGGAAAAAGAAATCTGGAACAATTTACAATTCGGAAAAAACTGCTCGGATCAATAAAGCTTCCCCTCGGCATTCTCTATCCCCTGGTCTCGTGTCCTTGGGAGAAAATATAGTCTCCTTTTTGACCTGCTTTCTCCAAATTCCTTGTCTCCTTCAGAACACAGTTTGTTCCTCAAGGCTCACAGACCCAGTCTCAGAATCCCAGCCCCTCTGCATTTCCAGCCGGGGCAGTAAAACTTCACTTTTTGCTGGCTTTATCGGTGAGGTGCAGATGAGCTAAGCAGGGGCCGCGAAAGGCCCTGGGCCCGGGGAGGGCGGGTTTACGGTATGGTTGTTCCTGATTGGCTCTGCCGCCGCCACGCAGCAACCCTGATTGGATGTTAACTTTTCTTTCCCGCTCACACCCTCCACCTCCACTTTGGACCCGGGGCTTTCCCGAGCCCACGCCGCCCCCCGTGGAGCAAAAAACCTCATCCCCAGAGTTCACGCTTACCCACAAGTGGGCGGGACTACAGCGGTGAGGTATCCGTGTAGGGACTGCAAGAAAGAGGTAGTCAGATGTTCCACGTGCGATGTCTGGTAACGTCCTGGCAGTCATCGGGCAGGTGGGCACATGAAGGGGGTGGGTGTTAAAGCTTGGAGTCCAGATGCGAGGTCCAGAGGGTCACAGCTGGTCTCTTGGGCTCGCGCGGCTGCAGAATCAAGGCCCCGCCGCGGACACCTGCAGGCCAGGGCCCCGCTGGCCGAGCGCACCGCTCGCGCCGAGGCGCTCGGGAGAGGCAGGCGCTCCCCGGCGCCTAGACACTTGTCCGCTGCGCGCTGGGTAAATGCAGACCCCGAGCCGAGCCGACTCCAATTTAGACGCTCGCCAAGGCTGCGCGCACGCACACGTGTCCCCGACTCGCTGGCACTTTGGTCCCCGCCTCCTCCGTCGCGTGCCGAAGCGGAGCAGGAGGAGGACGCCGGGTGTGGCTGTTAATCCTCAGCTCCGTATGTTCAAAAGGAGAAGGATCCGTGAGAGGAGTCAACCCCCTCCCATGCTGCGCTCCCCCAAATCTCTCTTCCTCCTCGAATCAATCTCCGCCCTAAGGGGCGTGCTCTGGGAGGAGCTAAGGGGAGGGGCGTGGCCTGGAGTCCAGCACTGATTCCTAGCATCCACACACGGGTGGGTGGGGGTTTGGGCAGGGCAACCCAGCAGCCCCCACCTCCGCGTCGCGGCCGGGTATGACGCGGGAGAGCGTAGTCGCCCCCAGAAGGCTCCAGGCAATCGGGTTGACCTCCGCGTAGACTCCGGGGGTCGCTCGCTCATCGCCTTCACCAAGGCCGGGAGCCCGGTGCACGCTCGCCTCCAGCCCCGCTCCCCGCCGCCGCCGCCTCTGCCGCCGCCCCCTCCTTGGAAACCAAGTTACCAACGTTTAAACCAATCCCCGGGCGCAAGCCTGCCTCCCCCACACTCCACCCGCCGCGCCGTCCTCTAGCCCAGCTCGTCACTCGCGCTCCCCTCGCCTCCTGCGCTTCCCCCGCGGCGGCGATGCCAGGGCCTTCGCCAGGGCCGCGCCGGGCGCTACTCAGCCTCTGGGCTGCCCTGGGCCTGGAGATCCTCGGCCTCACAGGTAAGAGCCGCTCCGTGAGCGCAGGGCGGGGGTGGAGTTGACGGACCCGAACGGCGGCCCCGCGCCCCTGCCGGCTCCGCCCCCTGCTCGTCCCACGCTCCTGCCCGCACCTGGAGCCTGGGTCCTCTCCGCCGTCTCCCTCCCCCTGCACACACGGAGATCCGGCTCCCCAGCTCCTGCTCTCCTGGGTCTCTACCTATTTTCTTGGAGATGCAGGTGTTCTGCACCCAACCGCGCGCCCTGGAGACCCTAGAGTGCTCCCGTCCCTCTCCGCGCGCCCCTCGCTCCCCGTGGTGCACCGTGGTCCACGGACCGGCAGCCCCCACCTCCCCCCGCGATCTGCAAAGACCCCTTTGGGAGCCCCAACGGTCGTGACTCACAGGCGCTGTCCCCGCTTCACCCGGAGCCCTGGCAACCGGGCCCCTCGGCCGTTCCCGTGGTTCCTTCCTCGTCTCCTTCCCACGTTCTTCATCCACATTTGGGGACCTCCCTCGACCCGGCCTCCCCTCTCCTTTACCTTCGCCCCAGTCTCAGCCTCCTCCCCTCCCGGCGATCTTTCAGGACCTCCAGAACTGGCCCGGTCCCCACCCCCCACCAGCGGTCCCCTCCTCCCAGCCTTGCTGTGCGCACCGAGACCCCATCTTTTCCGCTCCTCTCTCCCTCCCCCACGCTTCCCCCACTTCCTCGGAGCCCTGGGGTCCACGGCAGAGCCACCCTCGAGGTCCGGACTTGGAGAGCACCTCCAACCCCAAGGCCTGGGCAGGACGCGGGTCTCCTGGGTTCTTTGCGGACCGCAGCCTCCTGTGGTCCTGGGAAGCCCTGACTTCGGCGTAGCGGCGCCGAGATCTCAGGGAGTTGGCTGCCCAGGCTGAGCCCGCGTTTCCCCTGGCAGCGGTCGCGCAGGAGCCCTTCTGGGCGGACCTGCAGCCCCGCGTGGCGCTCGTGGAGCGCGGGGGCTCGCTGTGGCTGAACTGCAGCACCAACTGCCCTCGGCCTGAGCGCGGTGGCCTGGAGACCTCTCTGCGCCGCAACGGGACCCAAAGGGGATTGCGCTGGCTGGCGCGACAGCTGGTGGACATCCGCGAACCTGAGACCCAGCCCGTGTGCTTCTTCCGCTGCGCTCGGCGCACGCTGCAGGCGCGCGGGCTCATCCGCACTTTCCGTGAGTTCTCGGGTGGGGGGGGCGCGCTCCACTCCCCTACTTTCCCTCGCTTCCACGCCCCGCCCCCTGGATCTCCGGGTCCTCCCCTTGGGGCTCCACCCCCTGCGTCCCCGGGCTCTCGCGTCTGAGCCCCGGCTCCCCACGCTCCCGCGTTTCCAAAAGCAGCGGTTCCTTCCTTTGCAGAGAAACCAGATCGCGTAGAGCTGGTGCCGCTGCCTCCCTGGCAGCCGGTGGGCGAGAACTTCACCCTGAGTTGTAGGGTCCCAGGAGCCGGACCCCGCGGGAGCCTCACGCTGACCCTACTGCGGGGCGCCCAGGAGCTGATCCGACGAAGCTTTTCGGGGGAGCCGCCCCGAGCGCGGGGCGCGGTGCTCACGGCCACGGTGCTGGCGCGCAGGGAGGACCATGGCGCTAATTTCTCCTGCCGAGCGGAGCTGGACCTGCGGCCGCACGGCCTGGGGCTGTTTGAAAACATCTCGGAGCCCAGACAGCTCCGAACCTTCGGTGAGCGGGTGCGGGGACCCCTAGTGAGGCCGGGCGGATGTCGAAGAAATTTAGAGGCTCATGCATGTGAATGCTAATCCTTACTTCAGTACTCAGCAGCTGGTTTGTTTCGTCTCTGTGCCTTCAGGATGATACTACAAGACATGCATGTTAAGCCTAGTACACACTGAGCGCTCAGTATATCGATTCAAATTCTGAACCGGGCCTGGTGGTTCATGCCTCTAATCCCTGCGCTCGGGAGGCTGAAGCGGGAGGGTCACTGTGATTTCGAAGACAGCCTGGGGTACATAGTGAGCTCAAAAGCAGTCTGGAGTACATAGCGAGACCCTGTCTCAAAAAGCAGTCATAACAATGATAATAAGTTCAAGGTCTGTTCTTCCGCCCTTAGCCCTGCCTCCGGAGCCCCCGCGTCTCCGTGGTCCCCGGCTCTTAGAAGTGGGCTCAGAAAGGCCGGTGAGCTGCACTTTGGACAAACTCTTTCCTGCCCCAGAGGCTGGGGTTTACCTCGCGCTGGGAGACCAGAGGCTGAATGCTGATGTCACCCTGGAGGAGGACGCCCTCACGGCCACTGCCACAGCCACTGGTACCGCAGAGCAGGAGGGCTCCAGGCAGCTGATCTGCCAAGTGAATCTAGGGGGCGAAATCCGCCAGGCCCAGGAAAACGTGACGGTCTACAGTAAGTGGGAATAGGGCGGGGGCCTGGGAGGCTGGGGGCGGGGCAAGAGGAGTTAGTGGGCGGGACCAATAGTGGGCGGGACGGGGAGAAAGGGGCGGGGCAGATACAGAGGAGCGTGAATAACTGAGGAGGCGGAGCCTCAGGGGCAAGGCCTTGGTTTTTTCGAAGCTGGGGGTGGGCCAGAGAAGGGGCGGGGCTTGGCCGGTAGGAGGGGCGTGGTCAGGGGGACTTCGGCCAATGCTGTGCCCCCAGGCTTCCCCGAGCCACTCCTGAATCTGAGCGAGCCCAGCGCGCCTGAGGGGCAGACGGTGACAGTAACTTGCACAGCTGGGGCGCAAGCTCTGGTCACGCTGGAGGGAATTGCAGCTCCTGCTGCGGGGCAACCTGTCCAGCTCCAGCTCAATGTGACCGAGAATGACGACGGGCGTGGCTTCTTCTGCTACGCCACCCTCGAGGTGGACGGAGAGACGCTTAGCAAGAACGATAGCACTGAGCTGCGCGTCCTCTGTGAGTTGGCGACCTCGGAGGACCTGCCGGGTCTCTGACCATGTCGGGGTGGCGGGGCGACCCCTCATTCGCCTCCTCTAGCTTCTGGGACCCTTGCCCGCAGATGCCCCCCGGCTGGACGACTCCGACTGTCCGCGAAACTGGACGTGGCCCGAGGGCCCGGAGCAGACGCTGCGCTGCGACGCCCGCGGGAACCCGGAGCCTTCGGTGCACTGTGCGCGGCCCGACGGTGGGGCAGTGCTGGCGCTGGGTCGGCCTGGCCCGGTGACGCGCGCGCTGGCGGGCACTTACCGCTGCACTGCCGCCAGTGCGCAGGGCACGGCCGTCAAGGAGGTGACGCTGACCGTGGAGTGTGAGTAGGGGTGTGAACGGGCCGGCCGTAGCTTTAGGATTCTCAGGGCCTAGGCTCTGAAGTGTGCCGTGGGGAGAGATTTTGAGAAAAGCAAGCAGCTGGTGAGCGGGGTCCCTGCTTTGAGATTAAGGAAAATTCTTACGAGCAGGAGCCGAGCGTGGTGGCACACGCCTGTCATTCCAGCACTCGGGAGGCTGAGACAGGAGGGTCGCTGTGAATGCAAGGCCAGCCTGGGCTACATAGCCAGGCCATGTCTCAGAAAGAAAGGAAAGAAAAAACAAAGCCTCGAAACAGTTTAGCAAGGCTTACCTAGCACTGACACTAAGTAGGTAAGGGTCCCGGCCCACCCAGGGTGCAGTCTGCCCCTCTTTCTGGTGGTCCTGAGACGCAGGGGGACATCGGATAGTCAAAATCAGCGCCACGCACCCCGTTCCAGACGCGCCAGCACTGGACAACGTGGACTGCCCGGATCGCATGACTTGGGTGGAGGGAACCGAGGCATCTCTGAGCTGTGCGGCACATGGGGTCCCGGCCCCCAACGTGAGCTGCGTGCGCTCCGGCCAGGCGGACGCGGTGGAGGGGCTGCTGCTCGTGGCCCGGGAGCATGCAGGCACCTACCGCTGCGAGGCCACCAACACGCGAGGTTCTGCAGCCAAAACTGTGGCCATCACGGTGGAGTGTGAGCAGAGGCGCCCGGGGGCCACCCCGGCAGGGGTTCCTGTCCGTCCTCCGTGTGACCCCCGGGCTCCCTGCTTTGCAGATGGCCCCAGCTTTGAAGAGCCGGGCTGCCCGAGCAACTGGACGTGGGTGGAAGGATCCGGGTCGCTGTTCTCCTGCGAGGTGGACGGGAAGCCGCAGCCCAGCGTGGAGTGCGCAGGCTCCGAGGACGCCAATGAGGGGGTGGTGCTGCCGCTGGTCTCCTCCAAACCCAGCCCCCGAGGCCCCCCTCCCCCTAGTGACCTGCCACCCGGGGTCTACCTCTGCAACGCCACCAACCCCCACGGCTCCTCGGTCAAAACCGTGGTCGTGAGCGCGGAGTGTGAGCGGGGCCCGGGTGGGCGGGGAGGAGGGGGTGCCCCCCGAGTGCGCCTCCCTGACCCATCCTCCTGGCCGCTTTGCAGCGCCGCCCCACATGGACGAGTCCACCTGCCCCGGTCACCAGACGTGGCTGGAAGGGGCTCGGGCTGCCGCGCTAGCCTGCTCCGCCCGGGGCCGCCCGTCCCCACGCGTGCTCTGCCTGCGCCAGGGCGCACCCCGGCCGGAGAGGTCGCGCGTGTCCCGGGAGGACGCGGGGATCTACCGCTGTGAGGCCACCAATGCGCACGGCTCGGACTCCCGGACAGTCACCGTGGGCGTGGAATGTGAGTACGGGGGACACAGGATGGATGGGACTCAGAGAAAAGGGACTTGCGAGGGTGGCATAGCCGCGGGAGCTGGGGGCACCTCCTCCAATCCCAGACTTGGGGACCAGGAAGCCGGCCTCAATCCGGGCGGAATGGAAAGTCTAGAGAACAGGAGCTCAGCCCCTCCCAAAAGCGGGCTCAAGACAGTGGTGTGGGGCCTCATTTCCCACCCAGTAAGAAAATCGTGATTTTTTAATTTAATGTTTTTGGAGGTTGCTGAGAACTGAACCTAGGGCCTTGACATTGGGTTACATCCCCAAGGCATTCCATTTTTTTCCCTTTAAGACAGAGTCCTACTAAGTCACAGGCTAACCTCAAACTTGCAATCCTCCTGCCTCAGCCTCCCGGAGTCCTGGGATTATTGGTGTGCACGTCCACACTGGCCTGGAGTAGAACTTTTTAGGGGTGGGGTTGAAACAGACTCTAGATTGGTAACCCACCACACCCAGCTGGGGCAGAATTCTTGTCTCCAGCAACAGGCTCTGTGAGGGGTGCCTGTCTGAGAAGGGATGGTCCCTGACCGACTGTGGTGGGCCAATGGGATTTGGTCAGCTATGTCAGCGCTGATCGCCCCCCATTTGCCTCTGTCCCCTGCAGACCGGCCAGTGGTGGCCGAGCTGGCTGCCTCCCCGCCCAGCGTGCGGCCGGGAGGGAACTTCACCTTGACCTGCCGCGCCGAGGCATGGCCTCCTGCGCAGATCAGCTGGCGCGCGCCCCCGGGGGCTCCCAACATCGGCCTGTCCAGCAACAATAGCACGCTGAGTGTGGCAGGCGCCATGGGCAGCCACGGCGGGGAGTACGAGTGCGCGGCCACCAACGCGCACGGGCGCCACACACGGCGCATCACGGTGCGCGTGGCTGGTAAGTGGCAGCTGGGAGAGAGACAGTGGCTCTGTAGGAGGGCGTGACCCAAGTCTTGGGCTCTGACCCGCCTCTGACTCTGTCTACAGATGACACCAAAGTGGGCCAAAGTAGAAACCAAGGGAGCCAGGTGTGGTGGTGCACGCCTGTCATCCCATCACTTGGGAGGCTGAGGCAGGAGGATTGCCACAAGTTCAAGCCAGCCTGAACGTTGAGAGACCCTTTTCTCTAAAAAAAAAAAAATAAATAAAAAGAAATTTAAAAAGGGGAGAGAAAGGAAGGAAGGATGAAAAGAAAAAAAAAAAGAAAAGAGAAAGAAGAAAGAAAGAACGAAAAAGAGAGGGAATTCAAAGGGTAGGGCTATTGGTGGTGGGCTAGGGGTGGGAAGTGGTAGAGTCTGGAGACTGGAGCAGGACCTTTCAGGGTTCTGACTGCGGTGAAGAGGGCTTATTACCTTGGAGTAGGGGAGCTGGGGATGTAGCTCAGTGGTACAGCACCTGACCAGCAAGCCTGAGGCCATGGGTTCGATCCCCAATAAGAAAAAAAGACGGAAAGAGACGAAATCAGGCCATGGTGGCAGAGGAGGCAGGAGGGTAGCCTGGATTCGAGGCCGCCTGGGCTACAGAGTGAGATCCTGTCTCGAAAACCAAACCAAAACAAACCCCAGTGAATGGGTTCTGGGAGGGGGGCACGTGACCCTATTCCCGGCGGCTGTGTCTCCATGGGAGAGGGGGGTTGCAGAAAGGCCAAGGGGAGCGGGTCCCCTAGATCCCATCCCCACTACGGGCAGCTCCCGCGGCCGGGGTCTGTCTGGAGTGGGCGTTCATGCTGGTGTCCGGACTACGGGCTCAAGTCCCCTTCTGAGCAGGGTGTGACCTGGGCCTGGGGTCTCCCTGTGTCCCGGGGCAGGTGCGCGGGGATGCACTGACCTCGGGTGTCCCCGGTCCCGCGCGCAGGTCCCTGGCTGTGGGTCGCCGTGGGCGGCGCGGCGGGGGGCGCGGCGCTGCTGGCCGCGGGCGCAGGCCTGGCCGTGTACGTGCGCTCCACCGCCTGCAAGAAGGGCGAATACAACGTGCAGGAGGCCGAGAGCTCGGGCGAGGCCGTGTGTCTCAACGGCGCGGGCGGCGGTGGCGGCGGCGAGGCGGGGGACGCAGCCACGGAGTCCCCGGCCGGGGGCGAGGTCTTCGCCATCCAGCTGACGCCCGCGTGAGCTGCTCCCCTGTCCCCGCGGGCCGGGGCCGCCCCCACGCGCCACAGGGGGGTTATTATTGTTCTATTTATTCATTTATTTATTCAACTCCAGGAGCGTCACCCCCATTTTCTACCCAGCTCCCCCAATAAAGTTTTTATAAAGGACTCTGGTTCTCTGTCTTGTTTGGTTTTTTTTGCGGGGGGGGAGGGGCGGCGCAGGAGATTGAACCAGGGCCTTTGCCCGGAGCTCCACCCCTAGCCCCCCACTTCTGACACACATATTTTATTGTGAGGTCGGGTCTCACCATGCAGCCCAGGCTGGCCTCGAACTCGTGGGGGTTGAGTACTGGGATTACTGGCTTCCGTTTTCGAAATGTGGACTGGTGTGTGTGAGTTCCCACCTTCAGGAGTATTCATTCATAAAAAAAATTTCTTTTAAGTTCTTTTTAAGAGTGCAGTAGGCGCAAGCACCCTCCAGGCAGCCTGTGTGCCCTGTGACCTGGTGCTGGCCGCTGCGCCCGGTTCCTGCAATCACTTGACCCTTGGGCAGGACCCGCAGCCTCTTCCTCTTGCCCTGCTTATCTCTTCCGCCAGCGCTGCCCTCTGCCCCGGCCGGCAGCCCCGGGAGCTCGGGTGCTTTCCCCGGGCCTGGTTACCAACAAAGCCAGGGTGGGCTGCCAGGATGGGCGGGGCCCCTTGGGGGCCCCAGGCCACTATGCCTGTCAGCTCTCAGGATGTCCCTCTCCAAGGGCACGCCCTGCCCCACCCTCAGAGCCTTGGGGAGCCTGTGTCCTCTCGGTGCCTCAGTTTACCCCCACTTGCCTTTCCACTGGGCATGCATGATGGGATTTGAACAAACAGGGCACTGCCATCCCTCCCCCAACAGCAGAAGGAGAGAACAGCTGGCCTCCCCACCTCCTCCTCTCTGCTCCTCAAGAGCAGAACGCTGGGTCCCAGAGAAGGAAATCGGCCTGGCAGCGCGGAGCCCAGTTGGCTGCCGTGTGCACGACAGGCAAAGATGGAAACAGGAAACAAGGCAGGAAGCCCCCACCCCCAGCCAGGGTTGAACCCAGGGCCTTGAATACCAGGCAAGTGCTCTACCACTGAGGTACACCCCAGCTGTCCTGGGAGCCCACAAAATCCTGCCTGCCACAGGGCCCTTGCCTTTGCTGTTTCTTTTTTATTTTTTAAGATAAGTTTTCACTAGGTTGTTAAGTTGCCCAGAGTGGGCTCAGAATTTGCAGCCTTCCTGCCACAGCCTCCCAGAGTGCTGGATTACAGGTCTGTGCCACCACACTTGGTCTTTGTTCTTTCTATTCAGCAGCATGTGCACCCACTGAGTTCTGGCACGTAGTAGTTGCTCAATAAATGTTGAATACATGGAGAAAAACAGCCATGTCTTTGCAGACAGTCAGAAACCTTCATGTGTTCAATGTGTAGTCTCGCACGCCTGTGATCCAGAGTTTGCTGGAATGCTGAGGCAGTGCAAGCCCAGCCTGGGCAACTTAGTGAGATCCCGTCTCAAAATAAAAAATTAAGAAAGGGCTATAGATGGAGCTCAGTCTGAAGGCCCCGGGTTCAACTCCAAGTGATGCACACAGAAAAAAAAAAAAAAACTTTTCCCCTCCGTCCCAAGACTGACAATGCACCCAGGATGGGACCCCCATGTCACACTGCTGCCCTCAGAGCAGCACTCCTCTACGGCAGCGCTAACATCGAGTAACACCGACCAATGCTGAGAACTTGCTTTATTTGGTGCCTAGCTAAGCCTGGTTGGGGAAGGGGGACAGTGGGGGCCGGTCTCCCCGGGATTCACACATGGGAGGCAGGCGTCAGGGTTTCTCCTCTCCTAGGAGTCTCCCCTTCTTTCCTCTTGGAAACTGAGGCAGAAGAGGCTCAGCTGGCTGAAGGGCAGTTTACATTGCCTGAGGTGGGCCCTCGAGAGGACCCAGGGACACCCCGCATCTGCCACACAGCTTTTTGGGCTGCACGGTCTTCCTGGGCACCAGCCAGCAACCGGAGCAACGGGTACCATATTTCTTATACCTGCAGTGGGGGTACAAGAAACCACCATTCAGAATGCAGCAGGTGCCGGGCGTGGTGGCGCACACCTGTAATCCCAGCACTCGCGAGGCTGAGGCAGGAGGATCGTTGCGAGTTCGAGACCAGCCTGGGCTACAAAGTGA